AGGATTAACAAAGGCTCTTTCAGGGTTTTGCTTAGGAAAAAAAATCTGCAATATTCTTGATCTCAAATGCTTTTTAGGTATTGAAGTTGATATTGATGTGGAACATGGAGGACAGAGAAGCAAAGTGACTCCTGCTCCTTCACAGCAAGAGAATGCCAGTGCTGGGACCAGCAGCTCTACTGTTAACCAGAACACTGAGACCAGACCAGAGTGGAATAGCACAGATCGTGCTACAGAAGTAAATGCTGTGACAGAGCAGATTCAAGACATGGTGATAGATCCTCTGCCCACACAAATGGAAGAAGGCGGCCTCCAGTCCCAGGTACAAGAACTATTACATTAATATGCTGTGCACTGTGAAATGGAATATGAAGATCTCAGCCTATTAAGAGATTGACAGTAACTTCCTGCTCTAGAGTATTTAACTGTTTGTGTTGGGACTTCTTGTGGGTGTAACTCTTTAAGGTAAAGACAAATAGTAGAAACATGCATCCTACCTGGAAAATGCTGAAACACCTGGATCTTTTTTCTTGCCATTTCAGGAACACAGCGAGTCTAGCAGTTCGTCAGGTGGTGATGAGGACTGGACCCACTTGTCTTCCAAAGAAGTGGATCCCTCCACAGGTGAACTGCAGTCTCTACAAATGCCAGAGACAGAGGGTCCCAGCTCCCTGGACCCGTCTCAGGGTCCTGCCCAAACAGGACCTACAGGGTTGCGAGAGGCTGCGCTCTACCCGCATCTCCCACCAGGTACGGAGATGCATGCAGGCTTCATAGCTGAGTAACTTCAACTCAGGAGCTGTCAGCTTGCCCAGCCTAAGAATGAGCTGCTTAGAGGTGTTAAACCAAGCTCATAAAGTTAAAACTAAACTTGTCCATGATCTTGCAATCAGGCCAGGGTGTGGCCTGACTGCATAGGGTGATCTTCCCCTATAACATGAGCCAAATCTTGACATACTTCTGACTGCTTAGAGTGGTACTGTATCCAACCAGCATGAAAAAAGGCAGTATTCTAAATCATGTCCTTGCTGTATGCTCTAAAGGAGATCACTTACAAGGACACATTACATCAGTACATCCTATGACCTAAGAGTGTAGTGTGTGTTTTTTAGGCCCCTTAGCTGAAGTCAACAGCAAAGCCCTGTGACAAAGTTGACTCAGCAGTTAACTTAGCAGGTTGCATTTTTTT